AATCTGATCTACTGGCCCTGTACAAAAAGTCGAGAGTTGTTTGCTCAAGTCATTTTACCAAAGCAGACTTTTCGGACAATGCGCGACGAACACTGCGTAGAGCTGCTGTACCTCATGTCACATCCACGGATAAATCTGCCACTTCACTGATTGCAACCATTGAGCCACCGAGTTCTATTGATGCTGCAAGCTGTGGATCTTCACAACAGAATGGAGAGATCGGCATAGAACTAGGGCCATCCTCTGAATCCATCCTTGGTTATGAAACCCATACTTCTTCGCTACCGCAAGATACCATCATCAGCAACATACCATTTCTCCGCTTAGTAGAATGACGTAACATTTGAAATTTAGTTTTGATAAGGAGATTGCTGATACTTGTTACCTACTTGTGTTCAGAATTCAGTCAAATGTTTGTACATTTTTTTCCATTCAGAATTAAATTACTTTCCATTAAAAGCAATGCCTTTGGAGTATCATTTATTTACGCCACTCTCCTAAGTACTTCTTTTTCCAAAACATCAACTTTACTCCTTCAATTCTAAACGGCAAGTATGTACTTAGAAATATCAGATCCTGAGGAGAATTCAATAATAGTCCCTACCTGTCTCTAAGGTTTCGAAGGTTTCAGATAGATCTACCTGATCTAATAGAGAGAAAATTGAGAGTAAGCTAATTTTTGGCGGAGTATTCTAACTCTCCTTATGCCATCAAGCACTGTTTGCTTCTAAAATCAGGTGACTACCGATACTCTTGAAACGTTGATGGGTGAAATGCACAAATTGAACAATTTCAGGGCTTTTTTAGTTTCCTTTGGTACCTTCTACTTTGATTTTGGTAAAATGAGCATCAGTGTTCATTCAAATTTGTTATGAATAGTTATGAAGATTAAACATAGTGCTTTGTAACAACGTCCAAGTAACAATTTTCGAGTTAAAAAGATAATTGAAGATAGGAAATATGAAAGAATTTGAAATCTGGTACACATGCTTTAAATTTATTAAGTCATCATTTCATCTGATCATTTCACAATCAGCCCATATTAATGAACACACGTTGAATCTTTTTCATGGATTAATTTTAATGAGAATAAAATCAATTGATTCATTAAAATTACAGTAAAAATACATTCGAAAAAATACAGTATCTATTCTCACTGAATTGTCAATTTCTAGCCACTCTGCGAGAAAGGGCCGCCCATCTGTTTTTGTGGTTTTCACCTCCAATATTCATCATATTCTACATATAAGCAAGAGAGTTTTAGGCAAAAATATTTATTTATATTTCAGAGCAGAACATGAAAATCAATGAGAACAAAAAGCACCATCACAGCAACTGTTAAACGCTCAATTTTGCGCCAATGGCTCATCTTTTTCAACTTGGGCCTTCACAGCCCCTTTAAATACTTTTCCTTTGACACTGAGAATATTTTTTCTCATTGAAACTTCTTCATTTACTGTCATCATTCTTTCTGGTGTCATATTTTACTCTTTAATTTTTAAAATAATTTTACTGTATGGTACTTACAAGTTACAGCTTCTACCACAGAACACAGAAAAAAGAAGCGAGAGGAAAGAAGCATCCGTTGAGAAATTCATGCTAAGTTTAGAGCTTTACTAGAGAAATAACAAAATTAAAAAAGAGTAAATATAAAAAATGGTTTTGCGAGAGAGTCATAATAATGAAAAAACATGTCGAAAAGGCTGAAAGTCAATTTACTATCAATTATCCTTGAATAGAGAGGAGACGAAAAATAAAATGCCATATAACACAAAGGGCCTGTAATACGATTATTATAATCAATTAAGGGGGAAAATTATGAAATTAAAAGGGTCATGACAGTGAACACGAAAGCTTGAAATTGGAGCAATGTTTTGAGGTAACTGACTTATTCTTTGTAGAAACCATGCATAACTTGGCTTTTAATTTTATGGACTACATATCATCTAAGAGTTTGGCAGTTTGCACTTTATGTCGATTGATCAAGAAGAGTGTGCCCTTGAGTCCTGTTTGTAAAATCGAAGGGTTTTTTTGTCCAAAAAAGTCATGCATTTGCCTGATGCATTTGCACTTATTTCAGAACTGTCTTTTCGTTGTGCACAGCTCTTTAAAAAAGTGCTCAATTACTTTGAATGAGAAAATCAATCACCGAAAGGTGAACCTGCTGAAAAGAGGTTCTTTTTTTCTTCTAAGAAAACAAGAATGGTGTGCATGGAAATAAAAATATCGACATCCTGAGGATTAGGAGTCGATGAGAACAGGGCGGTCTTTGGGGTACTCTTTGACCTGAGTCCTTCCGTAAGAAGCCTTACTTGCGTTCGGCCCAGTGGCAGCACCTAATCAAAAAAAGAGAACGCAGCTGCAGCCGGAACAGTGAAGGAACTTTTCTGCATGTCTTCAACGTTACAGTAGTCCTGCTTGCCACTCTTCTTGACACGAAGACGGATGGTCGCAGATGGAGTAGAGGCAGAAGTGGAAACGGTCTCTTCTGCATCGACGGTGGTGGTGGTGTCCTGGAAGGAGTTGGTGTTGACCACCAACTGGACTGTGCAGCCATCCTCGATGAAGCCGGACTCATGGGCTGCTGCCAGGAGGTTCACCACGCGTCGTTCTACCTCATACTTGATCGAACGTGCCCCGTACTGCACTTCGTAGCCGTCCGAAAGGACTGACTCAACCGGCCGCTCCCATATCAGCTCAATGTTGTGCTTTTCTTTTGCCTGTGACCAGAGACAAAAAAAGGAGATGAAGAAAAACATAAAGTGTTTTCAAAGCGCATTAAAATCAATCAAATTTGCATGTCACAGAATCATATGGTCATGTGCATAGTTAAATCTTGTACATGGTGACAGCTTTAACAGTGGGGTGGCTAGTTGCAACTTAGCGGCAAATTGTGATACAGTTTAGCGGTTTTCAGGGGTCAAACATGACATTTTAAAAGTTTTGAGTCGAAGAGGTATTTCAAATTTCATAGCAAAGCCAAGATGGCGACCATTCAAAATTGCAGCCAGACGCGCTCTTGGAACCGCTGTAACTCTGCTCTTATTGGACCAATTTTGCTTTTATTGTTTTATATTTTTTGAAAGGTGTAAATGATAAAAATGACAATATTATATAGAATTTAGGTACATGACAATATTAAAGGAATGTATAATTCAAAAACCGATTTTTTAGAAACACAAAAAATGTTTAAATTCGAATAACTTTTTAGGATGGGCGTACCAGCAATGTAAGATGTGTTTAATCTGAAAGAGCTTGTTTTTAGCTTTCTAACAGTAAAGTACATTATGGGTCTGCAATTAACAGTTTGCGTTCAATATCAGTTCGCACGGCGCTCGAGGGACCTCCGAAATGGCAGTCTAGTGCATTCGTCAAACTACTCTTGTTCCAGTTCTACTAAACATATTTCAATTTGCTATCTCTGTTCCAGCGGAATTTTTTAGGGAAAACGTAATTTTCAAGTGATTTTTTGCTTTCTTTCAAAAATAAAGGTTTTTTTTTGGGGGGGGGGGGAAACTCGATTTTTTGGAAAATAATTTTATTTCTTGTGGCTATAAACAAGTGGATTTACACCATGGCTATTCTTTATCCGATCAGAACTAGGTAATTTAAATAGAGATAAATCTTCAATAAGAAAAGTCAATTAACAGCCATACAAAACGATTTCCATCTGTAAAAGGACTCTTTAATGATATCACCGAGGCATGAACAGTGTTTAATCTTGGATTCCTATTTCTGGTGTTTCCTCACCAAGAATCTGTTTTCTCTCTTATACATTAAAATCACTTGAATAAATGGGCATTCATTTCAGAAAAGTTGCCAAAAAAGTTACCTTTTTGGCCCAGAATTCCAATTCTTTGGCTACTAGTTTCTTCAGCTCAGACCTCGAAAATGGTAAGAAATAAACAATTTCATTAATTCTGCCTAAAAATTCGTCTCGCCCAAAATGGCGCTTCAATATGGGTTGCACGACTCTGTCCTTAAAATTCCTGGAGATCGTCACTTCCGTCTGAAATTCCTCACCTGAAATAGAAGAGGACATCTTTTAATGGAGATTTGCTTTTTAATTTTAAAGTTTCAACATGAAAATTTAAATTGATACATTGACACTACATACATTATATACCAGGCAATTAAAGTAAAGTTTAAACCAAGTGACACTAAAATTACACCATAGGTGCACAGAAAGACGGACATTCAATTGTAAGATTACCTGGGTTTACCCTGACTTTCTTCTTTTTAGATGACAAAATCAACTTGCAACCGTTCGGTCTCTAAGTGAAGCGTGTGATGGATCAGAAAAACATTAGAGAACTTAGAGAAAAGAAATAGTGTATTTACGGTCGCTTAATTGATACACACATTGGAATTCCACTTCATGACAATAATCAAATAATACATGGAAAAATACATATCACATAGTTTCAGATGAGCAGGAACTTAGATGATCAGATCGAAAAACTGGAAACAAGGGCTCGAAACTGGAAAATTGCCACTTGGAACAGAGATTTGGCACTAGAACATTGATCAACTGGAATCTAGGAACATGGACCCTGTTGGACATTCCATAAATTTACTTAAAATGCGAACAAAAATAAAAATATTCAAAAGCTAGATCTGCCCTTAACATTAATTTACACTATCATAAAATCATGATAAAAGCTCCAAAATGACTGTTAGGATCTCCTGGATAATTTCTACTAAAATAGTTGCTGGCAAGTCATACTTGCTTCACTACAAACTGTGAGATCAAAATTTAGGCTTAAGCCCAGTCAAAATAGTTGCTGGCAAGTCATACTTGCTTCACTACAAACTGTGAGATCAAAATTTAGGCTTAAGGCCATGCGGTACTAAGAAAGTAAATAAAATTGCTTAAGGCTTAGGAACTGTGATAACATTATAAGAAATAAGAGGGCCAGATCATAGTTGTTGGTTTCAATATTAGGTAAAACCTGCAAGAGAAAGGCGTGTAATTACAATGGAAGGGTGGTACAGAGAGACGCTTGGAGCGCTCACACAGTCTAACCTCAGGATTCTAGATAATTTCTTTGCTGGAAGAGCGATAACCACAATTGCAGCCAACCAAAAGGAAAGTGGCATTAACTACATGCTAATTGAGTCTTAGGCACTTAAAAGAGAAAATCAGTTACAAGATATGGCGCTTTGGAGATGTCTATCTGCTCAAGAGAGAGATTAGCGCTTCAGAAAATCACAGGTGCGTAGGCCAAAATTTACAAGTAAGGTGGTAAGGTTATGAACTTGAATCCTCAGACTTCAATTCAATATCTAGTAATAGAGTAGCATAGTAAAACAATAAATAAGAGATCTAGATCCAAAATACATGGGTGACTTCCATGAGGTGCCATATCCATCTTATAAGTTGCGGGTTTCATTTCAACCATGAGGTTTTCAGGAAAGGCCTAGATTTCCAAGTACAAAAGATTTACATTTACCCCAGGTAATGGGGGGTTCCAGGAGATCAGTTAGAGACAAAATAAAGATGTGAAGGCAGGCTCAGGTCACCAGCAGTCAGACCATCCAAAAGTGGAATAAAACACATTAAAAGGGAGGCACTTGCAATCTTCCGTAGAAATGAAGAAAAATGATGGCCAGCCAGAAGGCTGGCCTCTCGCACACACAAAAAATCTGTACTCGCTCCCGACCAAAGTTCAAGGTTTTTGCAAATCACGTCGAGAATTCAAAAGATAAACAAACGAAACAAGATAGTGTAGTACTCTCGGCGTCCGCTGCAAGCAGCACCTGACGGCCGCGGCAGCTGTTCAAACAGGAGTACCACACTAAATTGGAAGACAGATGAACCAGAACAAAATTATACTAGGAAGGTCGGGAAATAACGGCACAAACTGATCAACACTTATCTGATTACAATTAATCTGCTTCACAAGTTGGGGAGTCTGCATGTAGTTTATCCATGATACTAGTGCATCAGATCCACAAGTTTCCGAGTCCATGCACCAGGTCCATGAAAAAAACAGGTGCATCCGTTCTTTCATTTCGAGGCATCCGTAATGTGCTTAGCAAAAGGAAAGAGGGTTATGTAAAACGGCCAAAAAGTGACCTGGCTGGGATTGTACGAAACTTTGTCGGATGATTGGATGGTTCATTTTAGGCCTACATTAGCTGCTTTGAGGCGAAAACCGCAGGGAATGGACGTTGCCAATTTTTAAAGTCATGACATTCAAATATGCATAACTTTCGCAAAAAAGCAGTTGTAGAGCTGGTATTTATACAAAAAAAAGCAGTAAATTACGTTCTATCGGCTCATGCAGAAGAAATTATGATTTAAGTCTACTGTAGCCACGTTACTGCAATTTTTTTAATTTACATAATTATTAAAAGTCATGTTACCGCCTTCAAGTGTGTTTGCAATTGATGAGGTCTAAATAAAAACTTGTTGAAATTATTGTTCATTCGATTCTGCATCCATTGATATGTTATACTTTTCTGAGAGGCTTAGGGAATCTAAGTTACAGCGATTTAAAAAAACGGCAACACGCCCGACACCCGATTTTAAGGCTCGTTCCCCTACGTTTCACGACTCTGTGTTGAAGGAAAACGCCTAAACCAAACAAATCTTAAGAGTCAGTTCATGTCTTGCACTTTTTTGAAACTTTGATCCGACTTCAAGGAATTTACTTTGCGGCGGAGTTGCTGCACTGAAAAAAAGCTGTAGCTTAAAAACCAATTAGTGGTTCATATGAAACACTACTAATAGAAGTAAAGGCAACACATAATAATGGCACACTGTCAACTGCTACCGTCAATTTATTGAATCGACGGTATCTTTTATCTCTCTGCAACAGCAACGGCGCCCGACAAAAACGAGATATCAAAATTTTATAGAGTCCGAATTGAATGTGTATCAAGATGAATGGATCTAGGTCCCTTGCCAAAACTACCAATTAGACTGCTTGTGTGATTCGGTGGCTTCCAATTTCGATATCTCGTTTTTGTCAGGCACCTCTGCCGTTGCAGGGAGATAGAAGATACCGTCGATTCGATAAATCGACGGTACTAACTACAGAATAAGGATGCACTTGTGTAGCAGGACGTGATTAATGATTAAAACATTATTTTGTGATTGTGGTGGCAGTTTCCTTGAAAACTAGCAACTCTGCGCTGCATGAATTCCTGCGGAAATTAGGAAATGTTGTGGACACCATGTCGAAAATGGTCGGTTTAGGTTGAAATCTGTTGCTGGACGTGATTAAATGAGTGATACTTTAAATTGAAATCGCAGCGGTGGTTTTCATTGAAAACCGCACGCAGAACAATCTATGGCTTTATAAACCAATCGGTGGTTCATACAGAACATCACTAATGGTCGTAAATGAACTAATGATTCTCAGTCTGTGAGCCATACTGAGGTATCTCGTACCATATTAAGGTATATATACCATAACTAAGGTGTATGTGCTATTATTATAAATTGCCTTTACTACTATTGAGGGTGTTCCATATGAACCACTAATTGGTTTATAAGCTAGAGCGTTTTTTCAGTTCCCCTCAGACGTTTTTTCAGTGCCCCTCAGATTCCCTAGGCCTCTCAGAAAAGTATAGCATATCAATGGATGCGGAATCGAACAAACAATAATTTCGACAGGTTTTTATTCAATCCTCACCAATTGCAAACACACTTAAAGGCGGCAACATGATTTGAATAATTATGAAAATTAAAGAAATTGCCATAACGTGGCAACAGTGGATTTACATTGTAATTTATTCTACACAGCCCGATAAAGCGTAATTTTCTGCATTTTTGGGTATAAATACGAGCTCTGCAACTGCTTTTTTGCGAAAGTTATGCATATTTGAATGTTACAACTTTAAAAATCGGCAATGTCAGTTCCCTGCGGTTTTCGCCTAAAAGCAGCTGATTTAGGCCTAAAATGACCAGTACAATTATCCCACAAAGTTTTGTACAATCCCCGCCAGGTCACTTTATAGCCGTTTTGCATACCCTTGTTGAAGAGAGGGCTCTTAATTACACTTTCCTACACAGCTTCATTCTTTTCTTGGGCACTTTTCATAGCATGGTACAACTTTTTTTTATCCTATCGGCAAAAAACTAGGTTATTTGACTGTGGAGTCAACTTCTGATATCAGTAAGGACTGTTTGGGGGNTGGGGGGGGGGGGGACTCAGGGATTTGTAAGGACTCCTTACGCCAAAAATCAGCTTGTTATTATTTTTTCCCTTACCTTTTATACAGGGTGTTTCAGACCACCCGTACCAGGCCTTTTTCTCGGTTGTTTTAGGTCGTGCAAAGTCGGAGACCGCGGGGATGATTACGGAATTGACCCCAAGGAATCCAAATTTCGTGGTCCCGAACCCCCCCCCACCCCCCCACCCCCCCTTGGGAGGTAAAGGGGGGGTCACGATGCTAAAAGTCACTGTTCCCGACCGAATTGCGGATGAATCGCATCAAAATTGAAAAGCACGGAAAATTTCACGAGGAATTGACCCCTAAAAATCCAAAATCGGACCATCCAAGGCCCAAAAATGACCCCCTAAAGAGGGGGACAGTACCCTCCTCCATAATTCCTCTTTGGACGCAAAATTGACGTCGATTCTCCAGAAAAAGACGATTTCCCATGTAATCGACCCCGAGGACTCTGAAGATCATGGACCCTAAGCTCCGCTACCCGCCCTTTTAGGACAAAGCCGTCTTTTTCCGAAGAATCGACGTCAATTTTGCGACCAAAGAGGAATCTTGAGAAATTTTTGGCGGGGGCGAAGCCCCACTCCTCTGGGAGTTACTTTCTGCCGTTCAGGGGGTTTATTAGAACTCTTAGGGGTCACTTAAGATGTATATGTGTTTTGCTCCTCAATTTGGATGCAATCAATTTGCGATTTGGAAAGGAGCCCCGATTTTTAAAATTTTAAATTTTTAACATTCAAATATGCATAACTTTCGCAAAAAAGCAGTTGCAGAGCTCGTATTTATACCCAAAAATGCAGAAAATTACGCTTTATCAGGCTGTGTAGAATAAATTACAATGTAAATCCACTGTTGCCACGTTATGGCAATTTCTTTAATTTTCATAATTATTCAAATCATGTTGCCGCCTTTAAGTGTGTTTGCAATTGGTGAGGATTGAATAAAAACCTGTCGAAATTATTGTTTGTTCGATTCCGCATCCATTGATATGCTATACTTTTCTGAGAGGCCTAGGGAATCTGAGGGGCACTGAAAAAACGTCTGAGGGGAACTGAAAAAACGCTCTAGCTTATAAACCAATTAGTGGTTCATATGGAACACCCTCAATAGTAGTAAAGGCAATCTATAATAATAGCACATACACCTTAGTTATGGTATATATACCTTAATATGGTACGAGATACCTCAGTATGGCTCACAGACTGAGAATCATTAGTTCATTTACGACCATTAGTGATGTTCTGTATGAACCACCGATTGGTTTATAAAGCCATAGATTGTTCTGCGTGCGGTATTCAATGAAAACCACCGCTGCGATTTCAATTTAAAGTATCACTCATTTAAATTCCTACTCATCCCTGCGGTCTCCGACTTCGTACGACCGAAACCAACCGAGAAAAAGGCCTGGTACGGGTGGTCTGAAACACCCTGTACAAGTCCTCGCCTAGCAGCTTAAGAGCGAAAAATAGAGTTTTTCGCCGATTTTAAGGGGTTCGAAGTAAAACTTTAAGGTTTGCAACGTCAAAACAAACATTATTACTTATAGGTATAGTACGCAAAGTCACGATAAAAAACAGTTTGATGTCTGTAATTGCTGCTAATTGCCTGTAAAAGTTGCGTCCAAAACGCTAAAAAGGCGTCTCAAAAATTTTCGCCGCGACTAAAACAGCGTTGCGGCAGCAATAAAAATCATCCAATTTCGCTCAAATTTTGGGGATATTAAATGCTCAACATAATGACAATATAAAACTATCAAACATCGATGATCTGATAAATTTTTTTGGATGGTTCAAATTTGGGACACCCTATTGTACAATGATCAATAGGGTACCAGAAATATGAGTCATCACAGTCGTTTAACATACCTTCAGGAGTCTTTTCTTGCAGTTTTTCTGCTTCATCACGTAACCGCAAGGCATGCTGAGCGATTTCATCCGATGCTAAATTGGAGGTCATGACAAAGATAGCATTTTTACACTCTATGGTTTTGCCTTTACCATCGGTCAATCGCCCCTAAACAAGAGAATAAAATAGAAAATAAAAGCTGGGGTAATGCTATCATACCTTACTATGAGAGTTGTGGCATCGTCTTTGGTCTGTTATTTCACTGTTGAAACAATCCAATATGCTCAAGCAATATAAGAAAGAAAAAAAACCTGCTACCACAAGTAAAATGTACTCAGCTGTGTAATGAGCAGTTTAGTTATCTTAAATGCGAAAAGAAGGCATGGAATTGCACAAAGTACATGATTCAAACATTTTGTGTCTTGAATATGCCACATTAAAACTTTTAATGGCCTTTTCTTTAAACTTCAGTTGGTGCATAATTAATGGCCTTTTGGATTGATTATTACATAACTCCTTGTTGTTTTTGTTTTTGGACAGACAGTCCATTCATTTTACAAAAAATAAGAAAGTAAAAACAAGGTTTTAATACATTTGAAATTCAAACCATCAAAATTCTGATTAGGTTTGACTTTTAACGGCATACTTTGTGTAAAAATGAAAGAAAAATACTTTTCTTGGCAGGCCTACAATATACCATTATTACATTTTAGAGTTGTGTTGAGATTAAAGTACTTTTTCTGTCAACGGTCACTAATAACACGGCACAACATATTTCCGGTTTTGGTTGGTCCATCGAACCAAACCAATTTTTTTCGATTGAGAGAAGTGCTAAAAAAGTCCCAAAATGCCCATATTAACTTCAGGAAAATTGTCTAGTGCTCAGGACGCCGCCATTTTGAATTCTTCAAAATTGAGAAAACTCATGATTAGATTTTTGCAAATATCTCCTCAACGCCTCATCTCACCAAAAAAAAAAAAAAAAAAAAAAAAAAAAAAAAAAAACAGCAGAAAGAGCATAAAATTTCCTCCCGAAATCACTCTCCATTGTTTTTTCTTTGGTCGTAAAATTAACGATTTCTTCTAAAATTAGCTTAAGGAAGGCGCATTTTTGCTGATTTTAGGAGAAACTTTGCTTCATATCTCCAGCCACGATTATCTGAGAAAAAAAACTGTTATGCTCATTGAAAAGAGCGTAAACTTCACTTCTAGAAAACATATGTTAGTAGTTCCTAAACTTGATTTAATCCTGGGAAACAGTCGTTTATTAGCTCCGCTCTTAAATTGAGATTTTGTCGACCATCTCCTTTAATATCAAGAAAAAAAGAAGAAAAAAAACCTGAAAACATAGCCCAAATTCTGGAACAAGGTGGTAAAATAGTGCTGGGCCCACACTATTTTTTTTGGGGGGGGGGGACAAAGCCCAAAAGTTCAACAATTTTCAACCAGAATAAGAAATTTTGAGTTCTAATGAGTACTAGTACGAAACTTGTTGTATTGCAGTACAAAAGTTGTGCTTTGATGTCGTCTTGGATTTTGCAAGATTTTCAGTTGGGTTCACTGACAAGTGTGATCTACTGAAGAGGTATAAAAAGATCCAAAAGTATAGGTCTCTCGACGTGACCTCAACTTAATATTCCAATGCAAACTGCCTGAGCTGAACACTCTCCCCATCAGTTTTGTACTGATCCTCATTAGAGCTCAAAATTTTTGGCTCTGATTGAAAATTTTTGAACTTTTGTGCTTCCCCCCCCCTCCCCCCGGAACAGTGTGGGCCCAGCACTATTTTACCACCTTGTTCCAGAATTTGGGCTATGTTTTTAGGTTTTTTTCTTGATATTAAAGGAGATGGTTGACAAAATCACAATTTAAGGGCGGAGCTAATAAACGACTGTTTCCCAGGATTAAATCAAGTTTAGGAACTATTAACATTTTTCTAGAAGTAAACTTTACGCTCTTTTCAATGAGCAAAACATTTTTTTTCTCAGATAATCGTGGCTGGAGATATGAAGCAAAGTTTTTCCTGAAGTCAGCAAAAATGCGCCTTCCTTAAGCTAATTTTAGAAGAAATCGTTAATTTTACGACCAAAGAAAAAACAATGAAGAGTGATTTCGGGAGGAAATTTTATGCTCTTTCTGCTGGTTTTCTTGTTTTTTTTTTTGTGAGATGAACCGTTGAAGAGATATTTGGCAAAATCTAATCGTGGGTTTTCTCAATTTTGAAAAATTCAAAATGGCGGCGTCCTGAGCAGTGAGCACCAGACAATTTTCCTGAAGTTAATATGGGCATTTTGGGACTTCTTCAGCACCTAGGAATCGAAAAAATTGGTTTGGTTTCAAGGACAGACCCCATGTTGAGCGGTGTAATCAAAGAATGTAAAATGTTTAATTTTTAAATAAATGTTACTGGAAAGCAAAGCATCCAACTTTTTAAGTACATATTATTTAAATAATATTCAATGATGCAGTCATTTCATAATAGATGATTAAAATGATGGTGCATGGAGTATCAATTAGATTTGAAGGTTTGAGATGCAACACCCAAAAATTAAAAATTCTTCGAAGGCTAAATGCAATTTACAAAATGAAGTAGGTAATTATTAAGTATTTTTATAACTTCCGAACTTTGAATTTTTGTTAAAATCAACTATTATGCATTTTTGCGAGGTACACGGGAAATTGGAGAAAAAACAACTTGCCTCGTCAAACAGTTGGAGAAGGACTGTAAGAACATCTGGATGGGCCTTGTCCACTTCGTCAAAGAGCACGACAGCGTTGGGGCAATTTTTCAGTCTTGCCGTCAACTGGCCTCCTTCATCATGACCCACATAGCCGGGAGGAGCACCAATCAACTTTGCAACCTGAAGTCAAACAGTGTTAAAAGTGATGGAAAATTCAGTTGCTCCATGATGAGTCAGTTCAGCTTAGAAGGGATTGATCTACAAATAGGTGAATTCTACCGTTTTTAGCGTGAAAAAACAATGCCCATGGTAGAATCTTAAGAAAAATCGGCCTCATAAAGAAATAATGCTTCTTCTTTCCTGTGTCCTTCAAAAAATGTTTGATACATCCTATTTGTTGCTGCCATCTAAATTTGAGTTTACGCATCATGGATGAAAAAAGGCAGCGGCGACACTGACGTACTGAGTAACCCTGTCCCTTCCTGCCGTTTGAATCGCTGACATCTTGTTCGAGTTTAAGTTACTCCAGGGGTGTTGTGATAATGTGAGTTTAAATTACAGTGTGCTTTGATAGGTACATGAGTAAGTAAGTAAGGACCCAGCTGACCGAGGAGGCGCCCTAGGGTGCGTCAAAAAAAATGAAAGTCTGAAATGTTGCGCTCCCCAGGCGGCAATCGATGACGTTTGGTAAAAAAACGTTTTTGCCAAATTTTGGGCTAATTTCAACCATTTTAAATGGTGCCAACGGTCAATTTTGTGGTGAAATTCTGGTTTTTCGACTTAGACCACGATTTTATACAAAAAACCCGATTTTACGCTGAAATCGTGCGTTTACGGGCAAAATGCCACATAACTCAAGTTGTAGAGGATGAAATTTCACTCTAGAAAAACGTCTTTTCAAACAAAAAAAATCAAATCTGACAGGCAAAACGCACTCCGGTATTTTATTTTTTGGTCCTCAGAATTTCTGAGGCCTTACAAAGCACCGCTATTAAAGACTCAATCCTTACCAAATTGAATCGAAAATGGGTATAAATGAACTGTAGGTAAGTGCTAAGGATACACATGTCATCAGAACATCCTCTGTTTTAAAAAAACGTCCCATTTTTTTACGCATTTCTCAAAAAAGTATACGACCCGAAAAGCAGGATACTGAAATTATTGCCTTCGACATAGTTGGTAAGTTAAGATACTAATAGAGGTTCGAGTCAATTTTCTTCAGATGAAAAATCGAACGTTTTAGTAAGAAGGAGAAGAAGTGGACGAAATGGTGGAGATGAAAACCGTCTGTCCAAGTCACTATAACTGCAGCGCAATCCTTCCGCCGCGGTGCGCCGCGCGAATGTCTGACCAGTTGCATACATGCCTAGTCTCGAGGAGTTTTAAACACACCAGCGGGGCGGGAGAATATTTTTCGACTTCAAGGTCAACGAAGATGAAGCTATCCCCACCACTTTCCCCGCCAGTCGCCTGAGCGGCCAATCAACTGTTCTTACGTATAACGCCTTGAAACCGCAGACGGGTGAACAGCTAGGCACCTTCAGTACCCCTCCGATATTTTGTGCCCTCAGTCTTGGTGTCGCTGACGTTCTCTTTCGCGCAATAGTGTGTGAGTTTCTTTATTTGATCGAGAAGTGGCAATAGAGTGCAAATTAAGATGCAGCAAGCAATTTAAAGATCATTACACAGTGAACGTGCAGTTTTAAATTTAGATATCGGATTGCGGAATAGTGCGATTAAAGATGCGAATAAAGAAGTATGCGAAGCTTTTAGAGCCTAAATCGGAAATTACTGCCGAAAAGTATCCGTCTAGAGGGCAAGTGCTCAGTAATTTACTGTACGAACTTAATGTTAAAAAACAATATCTGTCACAAAGTGTGGAAAATGTCATTGACAGAGTGATACCTTTTTGGGTTAAGGCTCGAAGTCCCACATTAAGAAAGGACAAGTGCAAAAAAAAATTGATACAGCTGTACCAAGAATACAGGAATATTCAACGAATCGTAAATAAGAAAAATGCGTCGAAGTATGAAGCAGCTTTTACGAACAGTTTACACCATTTATTTGAAATTGACAGTTCTGATGCTTTAGCGTGTATGAGCGTAGAGGACAGGCCATATTTGCTGTCTGAAAAAGAAAAAGCTAGAAGGGAAAATCAAAACTCGCAAAAAAAGGAAAAAAAGGTGGATAAACAAGTGTTACAGGAAGAATTACCAGGTGAAGGATATGCTGATAGAAGATATCTTGCGTCAAATGAACTTGAAGCTGCACGGAAGCAGATGAAAAAAAAGAAGCGTACCCTTCGGGAAGAAAGACAAAAGCAAAAAGCCGAAGCATATGCTAAGAGACTCTCTGAAAAAATTATATTGTCAGGATCGTCTTCACAAGATTCTAAACCGTCATCTCAAGGAAGTGTTTTTGAGTCTAAGTTACAATCGCCCAAGAGAAAGCGGTTGCAAATATTAGACGAGGAATTGAGTTCAACTTTAGATCGCACGAGAACCTCCAATCGAAACGCCACTTTTCTCATCGCAAAAACCGCTAAATCAATGGGTGTTGATGTGAAGACTCTAACTGTTAGCGAGGCATCTGTGAGACGAAGAAGAGCTGAGCTAAGAAAAAATTCTGCTCAACGAATTCAAAAGA